TCACTGAATCATGTTTCAAACAGCATACACAAATGAATTCCTATATCAGCAATGCCTTCACAACAGAGTCTTCCCATCTAAACAATAGCCTAACATGCTTGCTCATACTTAACATGCTTGGAAATTCTAGTAGCAATGATCAAGCACAGGTAGCAGGGCAAACAGTTTTACATCAAAAAATTTCTTGCACAATCAATAAAACCACATTTAAACAGACACAACAGTAGGTTTAGACATGACACTGCCAACATCAAACAATGTGTTATTTCAACATGAGAGCTTGCAACAAGAAACCAAAAACCAATATCAAACAGTGACAGTTTAACATGACAGTTTACATCCACAACCAATTCATTATAAGTTTCACATGATAATCACAACTTCATGACAGTAAACGCAAACCATACTTAGCATGTTCTGATGATTCAAGGTATCCTAAACTCATGCATAATGAGTGAGTTTGAAATCACCAACCTCTTTTAGAACTCCATAGTGTGCTAGCAGCCTTTAGTTGAGAATCCTTTTGAGTAAGATACCCCCCCCCTTTGATGCAAGCTTTGATGTTTCTCCTTCTTGAAGTGATGAGTGATTTTTTATAGCAGTTTGAGAGAAAATACCAAAAGCTCTTCTTCCGATTTTGCACAAAGTGGTGGCTGCCTCTCATTAGGGTTTTGCACTAAGTTTTTATATGAGGTGAGAAATGTGAAAATGGAAGTTTAACAGTGGTAAAAGATCAATGGTCCAGATCTGATATGTTCATGGTTCTTGAATCAAATGATGGATTGGAGAGGCAGTACCGGCCAACTTGCATATGTAGCTGTTTTAGCTCAGTAGTAGGAGCAGCATAGTGTGGCTGCTTGCAACAGAAAAAGCAGTTTGTCCCTTTCTTGTTTGGGGAAAGATTCAAAAAAATCCTTAATGTAGTACATGCCTTGGTTTGACTTGAAATGACAATGTTTCTTGTGTACCAAACTCAACCTCATGTGCATGGAAGAAGGATGAGGCTGATAAACCAAAAAAATCAGCAAACCACACATTTCACACTTTGAATAAAATGTCCAAAACACCAAATTTGGGCCATGATAACTTTGTGCACACAACTCCAAATGTTTAGGTCTTCTGCTCAAATGAAAAAGGACATGGAGTAGAACAAATTTCATGTTGGAGTCATCTTGATTTGAGGATTGGAAGACCATGAAAATGGTGTTGAAAATCAGGTCATGCAAACTGTCCATAAGTAACTTAGAAAAAATTCTAAGTTATAAAATTGGCTTATTTTTCCTCAACTTTGATTGATCATAACTTGAGCTCCAAATATTATATGATTATGAATTGGTACTCAAAAGAAAGCTTGAAATACAAGGAACAACTTTGATGTTTGATCCAAGTTCATTTGAAACCTTGATCATGAAGAAAAATGGCTTTGAATATGGTTGTTCCAAACATAAAACTTTCCATAAATAGAAAGTTCTAAAACCCTAATTTCCTTAAAATGACAACTTTCAACAATTCTTGATTTTTCATGATTCCCTTGACTTTTCTTGATCAAATTCCATCTATTGGTCATATTGAACTCAAGGATCATGATCTTGACCTCAAAAAGTCAACTCTTGACTTTTTGACCGCACAATTGACTTTTTCCCCAAATCTCCTAATTTTCAATTGACTGATCAATTGAAACCCTTCTGATTAAAATTGATGGTCAATCTCCCATCCCCAAACACCTTAGGACATATGGAAGACCATGGAAAAAATTATTTCCCTCAAAAACAAATTTATCCTGATTAAAATTGAAACTTTAATTTCACCCTTTTTGTCTTGGCATTTCTTGGATGAACTGAGTGACCACTCCAATTCCACAATATCCTCTGAGGTACTCAACAAGCCTCTACCTCATGCTCACACCAATGAGAAAACCTCATGAACCCCTTGAAAACCCTCTGATGGTTCTTTGATAACTTTATGATAATAACACCCACTTGATGGCTTGTACCAATGCCTTTGCTTGAGCTTGAAGCTAACAAAAACCCTCCTCTTGGATGGCATACACACAAGCCAAATATTAAAAAAAGTGGGAAAATTTAGGGTATGACAATGACGATGGACCTTACTTTCCCTTTTATCGTGTCTTTTCAAAAGAATATCATTGTTGTTGTTTTGTTTTTCTCTCATGTCATTTTGTATTCTCGATTTATTATGAAGAGACAAACTGATGATATAGTTGGGCCATTGGATCCATGTCAGCCGAGTCATCATGGATGTTCTGTTTTTCTTCTGGACCCTTGTTTTCTTTTCCAGCTGGACCTTAGCTGTGTTGATAACTGGGTCGTGGAGCCTATAGGAGCCCTTGAGCCCACACACCTTGGATAGCCATCTCACACCCCCTTTGTTTTTTTTATTACGTTTTTTTTTCTTTTCTCTTACTTTTCTTTTAATAACTCTCATTTAGTTTTGTTTCATTTTTTAAAAAAATTCCTTCAAGATAAGCTTTTAAGTTGTTTTATTAATTGTAATGAGATTGAGTTTATTATCTTTGGTTGATTTATTTCTCGTTTCAATTTTATTTCGTTTCTTTTTATATTTTCTTTCATTAAGGTTGATGACGAGACCTCCATAAGTTGTTATCGGTCAAATTATTGATAGATAATAATTTATCCGAGACCACCCACTTTTTCACTTTTCATTTTCTTTCTTATTTTCGATTTTATTTTATTTTTCGAATCGATGAAGTCTTTGATTCACAAACGTTAGTTTTCGAGGTTGTTAAAACCTTCATTATTTCAAATCTATTGAAAATGATCATTTGGATCATTTTTCTATACTTTGGGATCGTGAGAGGTTCCCTTCGATTAATTAACATAAGGTTTGCAATTAAGACGAGATTTAACCTTATTTTCAAATACATCTCGATTTTATTTTATTTTAAAAATGAGGCTTGATCCAACGTTTTCAAAATAAATTAGGTTAGAACACGTTTTCAAAATAAAAAACAAATGAGGCTTGATCCAACGTCAAACCATTTTCAAACTTATTTTAAATTGGATCACCTTAGGGTTTCTCCCTCTCATTTCACCTCTCTTCCCTCAAACCACCAACCTTGTATGTATTCAACCCTTGTAAGTCGATTGCTTCGCGCATCGCCATCAACCTACCATGCTCTATTCACCACCATGTCCTTTTAAAACTTCTTTTCAAACTTTTCTCTATTGAGTCTAAAAAACCTTGGTCTCGTGCCAAGCGCATTTTCCAAACTCTTTTCCCAATAAAACTTGGATGGTTGTGGAGTGGTTAGGCGAAGGCCTTATCCTATCCTGAGTGTTTGACATTACCTTTAGGGTTCACTGTCATAAAGCACTTACCATTCAAGATCAAAATATCTTTAATAAGAGAATGAAGTTCTCTTTGTATTGAACTAAAGAGTGAGGATAGAATGCAGACTTCTTCCTCTCCGAGTGTCAGGATACTCACTGTAGAGTCTGTGGTCTCGATTCTCTTCTTTCAATACGAAGACGCGACTGTATTCGCCACACCTTTTTCACAATAATTCTTTTGAAATAAAGAATTGGGTACTACCCGCAAGGGGTTACTATTCGAGGACCTATTTCACCCTTAAAAATAACCTCCACAAATCAAATGTGACATCTTCCCTTAATGGCGAAAACTATCGCTTTTCCAAAAAGATATGTTACGTCCGTTCTACCGCAAACAGGTCGCCTAAGATTCCACAAGCGAGCTGCAATACACCTAACTGCTAGAATGTGTACGTTAGCATCATCCACAAAAAGACCGCGAGGTCTTACTGAGTCTCTTCTTCCCCCCTGTTATCTCCTATTTTCTTTGTTTCCAACCTTTCTCTCTCCCCCTTGGAACACTCTTAGAAAGCAATAACCTTTAGCAGATACCTTCACACATAGACAAATAAATGGTTCCCATCGAGTACGACGGATGTGAGGGGTGCTAATACTTTCCCTTCGCATAATCGGCTTCCGAACCCTTTTTCTTGATTGCGAGACCATCTTATCCGTTTCATCTTAGAGTTTTCTCGATGTTTTTCCTTCCCCTTATGGGATAAATAAAGTTCGATGGCGACTCTTCTGTCCTTCTATTTTCGTCTCTCCGTCCTTGCATTTTTGAGTAGCGACACCAGTTATCTCTCCAAAGACTAATATGTTCGCCATCACTAATTAACCACTGAGTATTAATCTTTATTGTCTCTTGATAATATTTACTTTCTATCTAGATTGAGGAGAAAATATGATATTTTACATACCTACCACACTTGAAGACCCTGGATCTTAAAAGATTAGCTGAATCCTCCTTACTAGTAAACACAATCCTACACTGCTTAAGATTCTAAACTTCATTAAGCACTCTGCTTTAGTTTGATTGTATGTTAGTTTTAGATTTTTAATTATGAAATCTTTATTCACTAGTTTAATTGTCATCATTATTTTTATTATTCACTTTTTTCAGATCTATTCCACAGTCCCTATAGTTTACTTGTAAAATAATCCAGCAAGGTTGGACCCTCCTAATTTAGGAGGGAGTCTTGAAAAGTAACCTTTCTAACCGCCACATTATTTGGAAAGTGACACAAAGAACAGTCCATTTCATCTTCTAATGTCGACAGACACTCCTAATTATCATTTTCTAAACATCCTATTTAATGTCGACGTAACATATCTCTTTAAAAAATGATACAGCACCACTATTGATTTCATGTCGACACTCGTACGGTTTCATTTTCATCCATACTCGTCTATTACCCCTTTTCACACACGGAACAGTTTTATCCTCTCACAAAAACCACCAATTACATCACTCCACGTGTACAAACATACTCAACAACTGTCAAATGTCGGTTACGTGACACGTGTCTCCAGAATCAGTTTCGTTTTGTTGGTTTTCTTTTTCTCTATAAAATGGAAGCTTATATGTTCTTTCTATTATAGTACTACTCTCTTTTCTTGTGTTTCTTACTACAATACAACCAATCAATCATGGATTCAAGAGTTGTTCAAAGTAAAGTGGTTGAGAACAAGGATGAACAAAACCTTGATCCACAACAAGGTAACAAGATTATATGATGTTTTCAATATCTGAAACAATTATTGTTATATATATTTTGTTTATGTTTCTTATGTTTCAAATTTTTTTTGATGTAGTGGTGACACATGATGCAGAAGAGCACAATTCTATTGAGCCTGAGAAGAAATCTGTTATGAGTAGAGTGAAGGCAAGGGCTAGGAAAATTAAGAACAGTATTACGGGGCATGGTCAGCAAACACCTGATCAAACTAGTGGACATAACACTGAAATTCAGCATACTCCTGAGGATGATGAAGATGAAGATGATGATGATGATGATGGTGACTTGGATGAGGGTCAAGAAAATGTTCAAGAGCCACTACGCTATGCGCCAAGTATGTTCTTCTTTACATTCTTTGCAATTAAAATACTTTAGACTATGAATCACTGGCAAATGACGCGACACTAACACTGATCACGTGTGTCCGTGTTGTATCAGATATAGGTTTTAGATACTTATTTTAAACAAGAATCCATAAATTTTTGTTATTATTATCAATATTAAAATGATTCTGAAACTTTTTCAATTATGTGGTTGGATGTTGCACTAGATTATGGTAGTAGAGATGTTAAAAGTGCTACTACACCTACAACTGAATATGAGAAAGTTGAAAATTTAAGAAATTTGGTATTTAATTTGGAAGGTTCAAAAGTTGTAGGAGAAGAACCTCATCATGATCCACTAAATAAAGGTGTTTCTTCAAAAACTGAAACCAATCAAAGCATAGACACTGACAAGGCCAAACCATTTGATCTAGAAGAGAAACCAGACCAATTCAAGGCCGATTTCGAGAGGCCGAGAGTTTCGAAGGAAGATTCTCAAGAACAAAGAAGTAGAACTGAGGCATATGATCTTCCCAGTTATCAAACCAGAGACACTGATCCAAATCTTGAAGGTGAGAAAAAAGTTCTACAAGCTTTTGTTTCGATATTAATATCGAAAGAATTCTGAAACTTTTTTATCATATGTTTGGATATTTTACAGTTTATGACCGTGAAAGTGTTAAAAGTGCTACACCTAAATTTGGATCTGAGCAAGATGAAACTTTAGGAAATTCAGGAACTGATTTTGAAGGTGGAAGAGTTAAGGGAGAAGAACCTCGTCGCGATTCACTGGCTGAAGGTGTTTCTTCAAGAACCACTGAAACCAATCAAAACATAGCCAAACCATTTTCTGAGGAAGATAAGCCAGATCAGTTCAAGGCCAATTTGGCGAAGCTTGGATTTTCGAAAGAAGATTTTGAAGATCAAGTAAATAGAACTGAGGCATATACTCCTCCCAAGCATCAAACTAATGACAATTATCCAAGTGAAGATGTTAAAAATGCTACACCTCCACCTGAATACAAGCAAGACGAAAATTTCGGAAATTCAGGAACTGGTTTTGAAGGTGCAAAAGTTAAGGGAGAAGAACCTCTTCGCAATTCACTATTTGAAGGTGCAAAAGTTAAGGGAGAAGAACCTCTTCGCGATTCACTATTTGAAGGTGTTCCTTCAACAACCACTGAAACCAATCAAAACATAGCCAAACCATTTGCTGAGGAAGAAAAGCCAGAGCAATTCAAGGCTGATTTGGAGAGGCCGGGATTTTCGGAAGATTTTGAAGAACAAGGAAGTAGAATTGAGGCATATACTCTTCCAAAGTATCAAACCAGTGACACTTATCCAAATGAAGAAGGTAAATTAAAAGACATTAAACCACTTGAGGAATCTCTTGAGAGATTGAATGTGCATGATGATGAGCCGAAAATCCAGCCACATGCTGCTGACACTGAATACCCTCCTTCTGCTGGAAGCCATGATCAGTTTGTGCCACACTTCTCTGATGCAACAGAAACCAAGAGTGAATATCCTCGGGAAACGGTATCGACCGATATCAATAGAGACCAGGAATTTTCGGAGTCGACCGATACCAATAGAGACCAGGAATTTTCGGAGAAAGATTCTCAAGATCAAGGAAGTAGAACTGAGGCATATACTATTCCCGGTTACCAAACCCGAGACACTGATCCAAGTGGTGCTAGTAAGTACTAACTAGGCCGATTCAACAAATTTTCAGAACTCAGTTTTTGGTTTCGCTATAGACACTGCATTATGTATCAATATATTAGTCGTGTACTAATTTTGTGTTTGTTTACAGGAAGTGATGAAATAGAAGACTTTACACCAATTGAGGAATCTCTAGAGAAGTTGAATGTGCATGATGATGAGTCAAAACCTATCACAGAACAAAAAATCAAGCCATCTGTTGCTGACACCGAATATCCTGCTTCTGCTGGAAGCCATGATATTCGTCAGCCTGTGCCGCACTTCTTTGATGCATCAAAAAGTCATAATGAATTTTCTCAAGAAACAGTATCAAAAAATAGCAACAAAAACCATGAAATCCCCTCAGAAACTGAAGGAACTTTTAACACTGTCCCCAACACTGCTGAAAATCAACCAGGTTATGAAGATTCAGTGGAGACACAACCAAAGCACAAGAAAAGTTACGCGGATGAAAATGAATTCTCTTCTGCAACAACAGCTGATAAAACTCTCCCTCGTGAAAATGATGAAGTTTATAACCTCGGTAATGATGGAACTAGCACTGGTGCTGGTAGTAATACCAATGATGGGACTGAAACAAAAGGTGGGGACAAGGGGGCTGCTGTGAGGGACTATTTCAATGAGAAGTCAAGGCCTGGTGAAGAAGATAAGGCGCTCGCTGAGGTGATTTCAGAAGCTTTACATAAAGGGAAAGACGAGCCGTTGAAAAGTGAGGATGCAAAGCTTGATAGTGAAGTTGAGAAGCCAGAGAAAGTGTATGAAGAAAGCAATGTGGCTAGTCCAGGAAAAGGTATGGTTGACAGGGTTAAGGGTGTTGTTGGATCTTGGTTCGCCAAATCTGAAGAGAGTCCATCACCACATGGTAATTCTTTTTCTACTACATTTTGCATAATATTGTGTTATATATATGATATGTTTCTGGTTTTGATGGTTTTGTTATAGATGCAGGAATCGGTACTGAAGACATATCAAAGAATAAAGATTCTGTTCCAGAAGTGAAACATGATGGCAAAGTTGTGGATGAAGGAAGGATTCAGGAGTAATCCAATTGATTGAAGAACAAGTTACATGAATAAATTTCTTTATAAATTTGTGAAGTGATTCTGTTTTCTGTAATTAGATAGTTGTTCATTGTTCTATATAAAGAGTAAAAGTTTGTATGAGTGTGGAAATTACTATATGCTATTTTTGTAAGGATGTGGTTCTAAGACTCGTATTTATATATGAGTGACTATGCTCTTTTTTAATCAATAATGAAATTCAATACTAGTATTTGTCATGGTGATATTTTTGTGTTTCATATATACTAGCTTGTAATGTTAAGTGTCCAATTTACTTATTGAATTTTAGGTCCAATTATATTTTTGTCTTTCTACAACATTTTTAGTAAATTTTTTACATTATACTATAAAATGTGGGATATATATTCAAGTTGACTATTTATTAAATAGACCTTAATACATTCTGAAAATTTAAAACAAATCATAAACATATAATCTAAACTATAAATGACTTTTAAGCCAATAAAAGTGCACACAATTTTGATTCATCCAAATTAAAATAATAAGTGGCTAATATAAATTATATAAAGATATAATTTAAAATAATAAGTGGCTAATATAAATTATATAAACATATAATTTAAATTGTTATAATTAACTGAAATATAATTGAAAATTGGAGCTTTCTTTCGTGTTGATGAATCAAGGTAAGAATTTGTATAGAAATATAAATTTGAATAAAGGTTACAATTTCATGGATGACATGGTCTATTCACATGTAGGAAATTATATTTGTTGAGCTTATTGTATGATGTAGATCATCAAAGACTTTTGGGGTTGCAAAATCATCTTAGGCATCAAAGTTTCAGTTTTCAATGATGAAAACTTGTCAATGAGAGTATTGATAACTCCTTGCCTACTAGTTAATTCTATCTCTATTTGTCCAAATCAAAATAATAACGAAAATCAAAATAATAACAAAAATCAAAACAACAAAGTTAAATCTATTTGTTATATGTTGGCCAAAGGCCTAAAGAAGTAAGACTTAAATTAATGTCAATCTAATCTTAATAATTTAAAGTATAAAAATTATTTCACGTAAAATGTATGGTACACTTTCTAATATTTATTTATTATTATATTTATATTGAATTTTGAACACTTTCTAAAATGTATCGGAGATCAATACCACCAATTTAGAATCTTCCACCATAAATATTTACATAATTGTGGTTTCAAAGCGTGATAGTGTCGTTATTTGTGAGAATTGACTTTTAATTCTCGCGATAATTCTAAGAGCGGATCATTCGAGATCCAAACTCATATCCATACCAAAATCACCGAACAATGGAGGCAGTTACCTCCAAGATCGCGCTAAAGGTCCCTGATTAACCTTCCTATTTCACATCACCTCAATTATCAATCACTAATGTGATCCTTACTGTGACGACTTTAAAGGTGTGGAAAATCCGAAACAATTTCTGGCGTAAATGCACTACCTTAGTATCTCCTCCATGTGGTGAAGAACCTCCAAGCGATAAATATATATCTTATCACACCATGATTCATAGATTGTGACAAGGTAAACGAAATCTTGGACGCATAGTTACCAACATTTGAAGTAGTTACTATCGCGAATCACGCCATACTTCGTTTACACACAAAACTATATGAATTATGATTTTACTCTACCACACTTTATTATCGTCTATGTGATCCACATCATCATTAGAAGTAATAAATATCCCTCGTTTAAAACACCTCTTTCATCCGGAAATTTGGCACTGAGTCAAGAAACAAAGATCAAAGTGCGTGAAGACGTTCGAAGAATGGGGAGATTCTAAGAACCTTGAACATAGATCTACCCGTGATTGTGGCAATTTCCATCTCGGACGAAAGTGCTAACGAGATACCTCCTAGTGACAACTTTCAATCAAGTGCAATCGAGATACCGAATCACCATCGAGCAAAGTCGGACACAAGTGATAGAGAAGGTCTTTTGACCTTCGGTAAGTTGATTGCTCACTCTTGCAGAATAACAAAAGTCGCACCCTCAATAGAGAAGAGTATGTGGGAGAAAAACACCCCAGACTCTTAGTAACATTGAAGTGAAACATCGTCTAAGACGCCCCAGTCGACATCCTTGTCTAACTTAATGTCGAACCTCGCAAATCTTCATGGATACAATATTATAGGAAAGAAAATCAGGTTCCATCCGCATTGACCCTCAGGTCGAAATTATCACAAAAAAGAGGTAAACTCCCACATTTCAATTCGACAAAGAACACCTAACCCTCTCGTTCTATTAAAATATGATCATCAAGAGTATCTGACATGTTAAAGTCTATCTTCACACATACAAAATGCCCCCAAGCTTTTTTTCTTATAAACTCATCAATTGATAAATGAGTGACAATACCATAAGCAATTGCAAATAAAATAGTTGGTTCCAATAATCTAATAGAATACCATGCCTCCTTAGCCACACTTAAACATGTGTAATCTTCAAATTTCCAGGTCTAAAATCTGACATCAATGCAGATAGACACATGAGCAAGGGCTTAAAATTCCATGTCCCTACACTCTAAACTTTGTTGAAATCATTCCTTGATTTGAATGAAAAATTCAAAATAGCCATGTTCCAAAGGAGTTAAATCTCAATTAGTGTTTGGACTCTATAATTTCATGAGTTTGTCACGTAATTTCGATGCCTTCAATGGAACATTAGCTTTACTAGTGATCAATCTCCCATGTAAAGTATTCTTGCAGCATTTGAGTCTTGCTATATAATTCTTTTCAGGTATCTTGATCGAGAGACGAGTTACCTTTGAGGCATGGCTTAGAAAAAAATATAAATTTCACACGCAATTTGAAGAGCTTGTACAAAGGATTTATTTTGTGCTTGGGGTTGTGATGGAGGCATAAGAGTAATTCAAGAAAGAAAAGCTGACCATGGAAGGTTTCCATGTTGGTAGCCAACACTATATGAGCCCATATCAATTAGGTTTTCTTTGAAACCCTAGCATAGTATTTCAAAAAATTTGGTATCGTGCAAACACATTATCTCACTCCTCGAACTTTGTTTTGGAGATCCAAACGGTGAAAATGTAGCATCGTGTCCCACAAACCTTGTATCCAAAACTCAGTTTGTTCGAACGGTTAACAATTTTAAAATCTCATTTTTCTCTTCTTCAGAAACTAAATAGAGAAAAACAAGAATATATTACCCAAATTCTCAAATTACACACATATTAATTCATCCAATTATAGTTTTATTTTGAATAATAATAAAATCTCAATTCTTCCAATTAATTGATGATAATTCTAAAATCTCATTTTTTAGACTTGTTAGAATTTCTTTGTACACTTTTTCATTTTTTCATGAGCCTTTAGGTCCTCATTTGTATAAAAAATATTAAAGAAATTCAATCATACATCTTATCAAAGTGTTCATGGGCATGGGTCGACGCACGAACCTGCCGATTCAAACATAATCAATCCATAAATTATTCAAACTCTTGTATTTACGAGTATAAATAACCCAACCCGCAATAACTTGTGCAATGTTCGTTTAGGTAGTGAATTTATCCTACCACCCCCGTATTTGACTTGGCACCCCCACATATGTTATGCAATGAGCATAACAACCTGTTGTATGCATCGATAGTTTTTTATTTATCAAAATGCATTCTAGTTTGCTGATTGATGCCATGTATGCCCTAAAGTTGTAAACCTTCATTCCTTGTAAACTCCATTGAATCCTGCTCTCATCTCAAAGTTGAGGTTAAATTGTTGTTCCAGATCTATATTGTCATGGCTTATTAGAAGTCATCCCTACACATGTAACAAACACATAAAAATTCACAAATGAGAGCACATATTATGTTGTTCACAACTTACTTAAAAACAACAAAAATCCACTAAAATTAACCTAAAAAATTAATGAACAAAATGATAAAATCAAGTGTTAAGAGTTATAATACCTCATACATAGTGAGTTATCAAGAATCTATGATCCATGCTTTAAAAGATTGCAAAACAGTAAATCATATTTGGTTAGCTTTAATGACTACTTCTTAATGGGAACCTTTCTTTACTTCAAAAGTGTAGGAGTGGATGACTCTAAACATGCCATCCAACATGAGCAGACATGACGATGAGAGATGACAAAAAGTATGGGCTACAACATGCCATGCTATACGGCATTGGCGCAATCAAAGGATATTTGGGATGAGTTCATCATGTCTTATAAAATGGTTGGAGAAATCTGGCAGCGAGTTCACCAGTACTCATTGAGTAAAGAAATGATGAACAAAAGTTCTTCAAAGATCAAGTCAGAGATTTACATCAAATAGCAATCATTAGATTAAGATTGGATGACTCTCAATACAGATGGAGTAGGGTATCAGAACACCCAAACATGATGCATATGAGTTTTAAGGGATAATAATGGCAAATGGATCAAGGGATATGTCGAAACTCTAGAAAAGTGTAGTACCATGAATGTTGACTTGTAGGAAATATTGGAAGGATTAAAAATACTTCAAAACAAAGAAAACACAAAAGTTAACATCCAAACAAAATCTAAAATTATGGACGAAACAATCACTAATGAGAACTACAATATTAACACAAAAATGACCTTGGTGAAACAAATTCAAAAGGAGTTGCGAGCCTTTAAAGATATACCTATCATTCATGTCTTTAAGGAGGCCAATGGTTTGACTAAGTTAGAAACAATGATTTGATTCTTGTCATAAGAAAGTTTTCAATTTGTATGGAACAAAAGATATGGATGGTTCTTCCACAAGAAGGATAGTGTACTTTTAATTGTTTTGGCCCTCTTCAATAACAAAAATTTATTTTTTAAAAAACATTCATATAAAAAATATATCAAACTAATTACTTAAAAAATAATAGTTGAATAAAATGGGCCCGTAGTTATTAAACTAATTTTGTTTTTGACAAAAATAATTTTTTTTTTTTTCAAGGTACCTTTGTTTATTTTCAGAAATTGGGTTTTAAGGGCCAGGGTTTTACATCTTCGTTCATCTAGCAAAACATTCAAAGTTTAATTTCTTCCTTTTCCTTTAACCTAGCAATTCAACCACGCCGCTGATTCATCCTCCTTAGTATTGTGAACTTTCATTTCTTCACCACTGTGATTCTTCTTCAGGTTTCTCTGTCAATTTTTTTTTATTGTAAAAAATCTTCATTGTTGTTGTCGTGAAAATGAGGAAGTCGCGACAGTGATGCGCATCTCACCTGGCATCACTGTAGCGGCCACCGGCGGATTCCCTCCGTACCGCCGCAATCGCGCCACTGTTGGCCGCGATTAACAACCTATATTTCAGAGTTGCAGAGATGATGGGTTGGAACTCAAATAATGAATTCAATAGCCCTTTTAGGTCTAAGGAAAAGGGTAGTTCACAAAATTTCCCAGTTTTTTGTTATTCAGCTGAGATTATGTAGCAACACGTTTGATGGTAATAACGATTTTGACTGCATTGAGGAGCCTTTGAAAAGAATAGTTTCAGATTTTGATTCTAGTTTGGATGAAAGGTTCAATTTAAACAATGATTCAAACTGTAATCAAAAGCCCTTTTCACTTAGAAAAGGATTCTTAGATTCTGTGAAATTAGATGCTAAGAGGGCCCTTGAGGTTCTTAGACAAGATGGTCCTGGTCTTGATGCTAGGTTGATTTTAGAGGAGTTGAGTATAAGACCTTCGGGGATTCTTGTTAGAGAGGTTCTCTTTGGAATTTTGAGGAGCATTAATAGTGAGAATAAGACCAGGTGTGCAAAGCTGGCTTATAAGTTTTTTGTGTGGTGTAGTCAGCAGGAGGATTACCGGCACACTGCGAATGCCTATCACTTGATTATGAACATATATGCTGAATGCGAAGAGTTTAGGGCGTTGTGGAGGTTGGTCGATGAGATGATTGAGAAAGGCTATCCAGCTACTGCACGCACTTTCAATGTTTTGGTTCGGACTTGTGGCGAGGCTGGCTTGGCGAAGACGTTGGTGGAGAGGTTCATAAAATCAAAGAACTTTAGCTATAGGCCTTTTAAGCATTCCTACAATGCAATTCTACATAGTTTTCTTGTATTAAAACAGTACAAATTGATTGAGTGGGTTTATGAACAGATGTTGCTTGATGGTTTTTCGTCAGATGTTTTGACTTATAATATTGTCATGTATGCCAAGTATAGACTTGGAAAAGTGGATCAGTTCCACATACTGCTTGATGAGATGGGTAGAAATGGATTTTCTCCGGATTTTCATACCTTCAACATTCTTCTTCATGCTCTTGGTAAAGGGGACAAACCACTCGCCGCTCTTAATCTTTTAAATCACATGAGAGAAACAGGTATAGAGCCAACGGTACTTCATTTTACTACATTGGTAGATGGACTCAGCAGAGCTGGGAATTTGGATGCTTGCAAATATTTTTTTGATGAAATGACAAAGAACGGGTGCGTGCCAGATGTGGTGGCGTACACTGTTATGATAACCGGATATGTAGTGGCTGGCGAGCTTGAGAAAGCACAGGAAATGTTTCAAGAGATGCTTTCCAAGGAGCAAGTCCCAAATATTTTTACATACAATTCCATGATTCGGGGGTTATGTATGGCAGGAAAATTTGATGAAGCACTCTCAATGTTCAAGGAAATGGAAAGGAAAGGTTGTAGTCCAAACTCTGTTGTCTATATTACATTAGTGAATTGTTTGCGGAATGCCGGAAGGGTTGCTGATGCTCGCGAGGTGATAAGACAAATGATGGAGACAGGGAAGTATGCCCACTTACTTTCAAGATTCAAAGGGTTTAAGATGTAGTCGTAAATTAGACTTATAAATCGGACGTATTAACTCACGGGGCATTTGACTCTTTGTTTGGTTAACTTAGACCAACTACCTGCTTCTTCTTCAGCTTGTTAGATGCCGGGAAAAAAAAGTATGTTGCCTCCCATCCCCTAATATATATAATTCTTTCTACACTGAGTAGCCAAAATGTAAACCTGTATGCCCCATTTTTGTATAACATATGAGCAACATTTGTTGTTCATTATTTTAGTTGTGATTCTTTTAATTCATATGTGTCTGCATATTGCAAAGAACTTTCTTGGGGTGCTGAAATCATCTTTACACTCATAAAGTAAACTTTCTTGGCAACAAATATTTTGTTTATGGGCCAAGTAATTTGCATTAACTCTAGTAATGTAACTTCATTCTTTATAACTTGGAAGTAGATAAAGGATCGATAATCCGTATGCTCGACAGTCCATCCATTATTTGGTACACTAGTTGCTGTTAGCTTCTGGAAATAATACACAAGCCTTCCTTTTTTCCTAATTATAGTGTATTAGGTTTGAAAGCTGTCTTTTATGTTTGAAATATTTTTTTAGCACCTGTAAAGTCAACAGTATTCTGTTGATGGAAAATTGTTCTTTGTATAGTATTTAATATGTCCGTTTGTTTATAATCTTTTTCAAACGTTATCTTTTATTTCCAATTTCTTACTACTATTGCATTATCCATTACATATTTTAGTTATTGTGCTCAGCCCTCTTGTCTGTTGATAACTAAAAACGTTATCTTTCGTTTGTATGCTATTGCTTACTGTTAGTATCAGCTGAAATTTATGTCAATCATTAATTATTTTAAGATTAGATCTAATGTTCTTTTAACTTTTGAGTTGTAAGACCAAGTCACCTGGTTTGTTGGTGCATTTCAAGAGTCTGGAGCAAACAGCCAAAAATATTGCAGAGACAATTGTGTGTTTAATTATGCTGCCTTCCAAAATCAGGCCCAAATTGGTTGCTTTTCTTTGTGGCTTCAAAGACAGCCATAGTCTGCTTTGATATTCCACATGAAGATTGAAAAAATATCCTTTGTACTAAAAGGTTATTGTCATGGTTTATTTATTGGCTCTTTATTTGCTGTGCTAACGCAAGATAGACTTCTTCTGTTCCCGACTTTGATTGGTGAGATATAGTTCCTAATTTTATTAGATAGGATTTTTCCACTATAGGACAGACTTGCCTACGTACATATTTATATAATTAGCTGTTTGCACGTGTTTATTCAATGCCCTCATATTTTTTGTATTTATCTTTTGATTTTTGATATATTATTGGTATGCTGCAGATGATTGTTAGAGCCTAGGGTGCTAGACTAGTTGGGGTTCCTTCCCCCATAGTGACACCTCTGCATTCCATTTTTCGCTTAAAAAAAGACAGACTTCTGTCAATATGTATAGTGTGATCACAAAGTCCAAACAGTTAGGATGCTATGCTAAGTCCAAACTAAACAGTCATGGTTTATTTATAATAGGATCTGCCCAATCTTAAGATAATTAAAGCTGCCAAATCTGTGTTAATATTTTTTAAATTAACACCATCAAGACTCCATTTTTTTAACAACTATTATATTTACTTTTGAGTCTGCACTAAAATTGTCTTCATTCTTGCACTTTACACTTCACCAAGCCCAGTTCTGTATTTACAAGAAAGTGCAGCCTTATACGGGTGGTGGTACTTCAATTTTCTGCTTATGGTACTCTCAATTCAGATTCCTTAAGGTAATTGTGTTCGGCATCCAACTCAGTATCTGGCTATCTCCTTATAATTTGCTTTGGTCTATCAGCTAATCTTGAGCGTTTTGTTCTTCCAATTTATCGCGTTTATTTAGTTCTATCATCCAAGAAAACATCTTTGGAATGATGTAATTCTATTCTATGTACTTTGAATTAAATGTAAATCCTAATTAGCTAGAAGTCTTAAAATTGCATTGTGGGATAGAATATCAAGGGGTCTTGAACAATTCTTGAGTGAGTTGTGATTTTATCCACACAATTTTTCGCAAGTTCAAGATGAATTTTAATAATACTAATAACAGTATCAAAGCTTGGATTTTTTATTGGTTGTATTTAATTTGTATTGTTTACATGACAGGATCATTCCATTTCAGTATCACCATTCTTCAGATTCATATTCATCATATCAGTTCAAGTTACGGTAAGAATTCCATTTCCGGTGTATCAAGATTGGAAAGAGCTGAGGCCAAGCACACACAGAAGTGAATTTCGTTCAAACACTGAAATAATCATTTCAATCGGATGTCTAAGTATGCTTTTGTTGAAAAGGGAGCTAAAGCCATTGTACATTGCTTTCTTTTCCCTGGAATTGTCATGCATGCTAAGTTAGTTGTTGATTAAATTTCCGCAACATGAAGACGATTAGTCATAGAGAAAGGTCCCTTTATTATTTCATATAAAAACCTCCTAATCTTCTGTTTTGTTTTGGTCTTATGTTTCTCTTGGCTTTTGCTGTCATTCTCATTCCACAAATATATCATTCTTTGCATGTAGTTATATCATTCTTTACAAGCATGAATCAAATGCATAGATATATTATCACATTCCGAAGTCATTAGATCCGTGAGAAATGTAAAGGGAAAGAATTTGAAAATTCAATGATGTGTACTGTCTTTATTTTTTCTCCTCTTGTTTCTCTTCTTTTTTCTCTTCCTTTTCTTCTTTCTTCTCTTCTTTCTTCTCTTCTTTCTTCTCTTCTATGGCAGGTCCAACTGATACTATGTCTACCTTCCCCACTTTCTTCAGCTTCTTCACTACTGCCACTGTATCCATTTCGCCAATCACTGTTAACTTCTGTTCATTAACATCTGTCTCGATTGAATCAACTCCTGTTATCAAAGTACAAACATTTACACAGATGCACCTTTAATTGTATTTCAGTAATATGTATGCATTGCAGAGAAAACTGACTTTCTGCTAAACAGATATATTTGAGTAAATGGAAATTAAATTAAAAGTTAACACCCACCATAGATATCTGCAACTGCTTCTATTGATTTCTTCTTTGTTTTGTCATCTGTCATAGTAAGAACCTTTAACACCACCTTCTGCTATGGATCCATTGAGGGATACCACACATGTAAACAGACAGAAAAAGGGGTAAACAAACAATTCTTAATCGAATTATTCATATAACCATAACCAAATAGTTTATGATATCACTTTAATTATTAATAATGAAAAAATTATTGTGCAGAAAACCCAAATGGGAAGATAAGTAAGTACCTGAGCCATTGTGAAAAGGGAAGAAGGGTGTGAAAACAAGGAAGAGGAGAATGAAGGCTCGAGAATACAATGTAAGACGTGTGGTTGTGAATGTCTTGTTTTATTTATGGCCAGACAGCTTGGAGAAACTGAATAGGACAAATGTTTGATGTGTTGATAACATGTTACGTGCCATTTGAAATATCTTTTATTTTGCCTCTCATCTCACTTTGTTTTTTATACTATCTTCCTACCCGATTAATACAAATCAATACAACAAAAGACAAACTCACATACTTTTTTTCAACCATAAATAAAACGCATATATGTTGTCATCTAAAGATAAAATTTACTCTGAAGAAAGAAAATACAAAGTGTGGCATTAACCTTATTCTAATATGACATGAACCATTTTGAAAAAGACATAACCTAACAAGAAAAATAAACATAGAATCACTCATGTTCTTCTTTATCTTTGCCAATTTTTATTACAATTGTCACGTATATATCATCACCGACGTCTTCCACCCATTTGAAGTAAGCATGTCTCCAATTCTTCTTGAACCACAAAGTCCCAATAACTCCCCATAACCCAGACCCAAAACCGAGTGTTTTCACAGTAGAACCATACTTTTTCTATCGCATCTTCATCTTCATTGCCTTTTCTTATAGAAATTCCATGCAAAATATCACCAGGACACATGTTTGGATTAATGATGATGGTGATTTTTCTAATGTCATTCCTTGGAGGTTTCCTATGCATTGAGGTATCGAACCTTGTAAGTTGTTTTTGTAAAGGTCCAAAATTTTTAGTGATTTGAGTTGGAGTTGTGATGGAATGCTATCACTCAACATGTTTTGTCTGAGTCTAAGAATCTGCACTAAAGGCAAGGTGTTTCCTGTCCATGATAGCCGTATACTATCCGACGAAGGCTATTATTGTTCAAATGCAACCAAAACAGTGAGGTGAGATTCCCGAACGAGTTTCAGAATTCTCCCCTTAGTTTGTTGGAAGACTAATTTATTTATCTCTGACAATTCGGGATTTTGCCAGAACAATTGTTCTTTGAAAGGTTAATTAAATCTTGACACAAAGAGATTGGTATTGAGCCATTTAAGTGGTTACTTCCTAGAAACAAGTATTTCAAAGATAAAAGTATACTACCAATATTTTTTGGAAGTGAACCACTGATTTGATTGTGGGAGAGATTCAAATGCCTTAAATTTAAAAGGCATCCTCTTTCCATAGACATAATTTGATCCAATATTTTTGAAGAAATATCTAAATAAGTCAAATTGACAAGTTGATAAAGACTTTTACCAATCAACCCATTAAAAGAATTGTTTGAAAGGTGGAGAGAATATAAAACTTTCAAGTTTCCATAGGCTTTGAAGAAGTGAGCCATCAAATTTATTTGAAGAAAGATCTAAGTAAGTTAAGGAAGTGAGCCATCAAATTTATTTGAAGAAAGATCTAAGTAAGTTAACCTAACAATTTGACCAATACTTTCATCAGGAATGAGACCGTTGAAAGAATTTTTCGAAAGATCAACAAAATCTAAAATTTGAAGTTTTCATAGACTTTGAGGATATAACCATCAAATTTATTAGAAGAAATATCTAAGCGACTTAAATTGACAAGTTGTCCAGTATTACTCAAAAATATCCCTTCCAATTCATTATTTGATAGATTTAGGTCTCTCAACTTTGAGAGCTTTCCTAAAGACAACGGGATAGAACTGTGGAGAAAATTCAAATCAAAATGAAGGAACTTCATATTTTCAAGTTGCCCTAACCAAGTAGAAAGTTGAAAGGTGATCATTGATCTCATTGTTACTCAAATCCAAAACCTCTAAATCATATTTAATGCAACCAGATAACTCAGTGTTCCAATAATTGTCCTCGGAGCTTGTTTCTTGATAAGAAAGGTAGAGTGATTCAATGGATATCATGTTTCGAAAAGCCTCAGGAATCGGACCATAAAGGCCATTGGATGAAAAATCAAGATACACAAGCTTTATTAGATTAGTGAACCACGCTGAAATTGCATCAAGTTGGTTCAATAAAAGATCAAGATGAACACGTGATGACGAGTTTGTTAAAGCATAAGGTATTTGACCATCAAGTCCATTACAAGAAATGTCAAGATGGGTGAGTTTCTCAAAGTTGCCAAACCACAATGGAATTAATGTGAAACTGTTGATATATATATATATATATATATATATATATATATATATATATATATATATATATATATATATATATATATATATATATATATATATATATATATATATATATATATATATATATATATATATATATATATATATATATATATATATATATATATATATATATATATATATATATATATATATATATATATATATATATATATATATATATATATATATATATATATATATATATATATATATACTCATTCTATTATTTACACAGAATATTAAGGTAAAAATACATATTAAATTTTGAACCCGATTCATCGTCATCGTTGTTAGTGAAGAACAAATGTTAGATAAAAAAATATTGGGGATATTCGTTTCATTGATCTTGAGAAAGATCAAATGTTGGATGCAAAATATTCTCTATGACTTTTGCATTCATTTATTTCTTATATAATACAAAAAAAAAAGTTAGATAAATAAAATAAATATTCAGTTATATGATTATTTAATAACACAAACCTTGAACCTAGATAAATTTATGTTCTTGCAATCAATCATAGAGAATTTTCCCAAATAAAGTAGATATTTTTTTTAAGTTTCAAAGTTTTCATATCACATGTTTCATTATTAATTTTTAATATTCAGAATGTCTGCAATCTGATTCTCAGTTCTGCAGTGTTCCAAGTTCATCTTCCCTTCTACTACATGCTCTCGAAGATAATGGAACCTTACTTAGATGTGCTTGCTTCGACCATATGCTATTGGATTCTTCCCAGAGTGATTTCATTATCTTGAGCTAATACTTTCATGGCAAATGCTTTCACATGATAGAGAAAAAGATACATGTGCTTGCAATTTACAACATATTTAGGAATGAATTTCTTGTTGGAATTCAACCACGATCTATGGTGAATTCTTCTCAATCTTGATCTCAAGATTGTTATGTAATGACAAGGAACAAAAACAAGAGCACGTTTAAAGAAGATGAGTATGAACTGCAGAGTAACTCTCTGCTGTTTACCGTGAAAATTGGTAAACAACCGCTGATCTTTCAAATCTAACTTTGGTGACTCACATGATCGATCAGATTAATCCTAGAACATGTGCTAACAACTGATTCGAAGTAAATTCTAATGACTAAATACTTCGACAATGTTCATAAAAAGAAGTTTATCTAAAAGTATGGTTAGAAAGAAACGCAAGAACATTAAATCGAAAAAAGGACTGAAGACATCAAAGAAAGGCTAAAAGAATAAGACACAATGCTGAAATGTAAATTGCAAGAAAGTAAAAGATAAATCTTTGATGAAAAGTTAAAGTAAATTGCATTAACGAAGAAAATGGTGTTTTACATCACGTACTTTATCTCAAGACTCTTTTCTTTATACACAGATATTTTAAGTAAGTTTGGAGTAACTTGTACAAAGTGAACACAACACATATTCTCCCCCCATTCTTATTGCTAAAACTCTTATTTATAATAACAAAACTAATTGCTGTTAACTTCCTAAAACAGTTAACACATGACAAGTGTTGCGCTGCATGCTTCTGTCCCTTGGATGTGTGCCACTTGTCTTATTCAGGAGTGGACAAGAATAAATACTCCGTCTTTTATTTGAATTTTAAATTCCCTTAGCGTCGAACATCAACAATATTCTCGATCGAAGGTAGCTTCCCAACTCTTAGAAGTATTTTCTAAGTCCAAAAAGTATCATTTCCTTATGAGAGCACCTTCGACTTAAACATATCATGAAGATCCAATCGAAAAATCCTTTAAACCTCTTCAAGAGTTTAACATTCCAATCAACACTTCCAACTTAATACGGGCGTCAAATTTCTGAGCTAACAAATCACCCCCAAAAATATCCTTTTCGACAGTACTGAAGAAAAATGTCATTTTTTGATAGTGTCCTATTCGACGCCATCTTTCGACCCCATATAGGTGTCAACGTAACTGACCAACCCACATCTCAAGAAATTGTTCAGTTCTTTTCAATCATATTCACGACATTATGGCCAATTATGAAAAATAACTCCTTGGAAATCACACTAAATCCCAGACCATCATCACCTCTCCTAGGATCTATGAATTCCCATAGCTTTTAGTCCCTAATGATGATCAGTGACCTTTCATTACTTCTATACACTTTCTAAATAGTTTCTTCAGAAACTATTTTCACTTTTCCAACTCCAAAGCACTCACTGGAAACTTTCTTCTCTCTCTAACACTTTTAACTCTTCACCTTTAGTAAACCCATTTTCTTCAAGTCTTTAACAATGACTTCTTCAACCGCTACTACGCAAGATCCAAAGAAGAACCCGAAGTTTAAAGGGCCAAAGAACATATCACTACTTCCTTTATTTTCTACATTGAATGGACCCAAAGTAATGAAGAATCAACAATTCATCCCTGAACCTCTCAAAGAAGAAAAAAGACATAACTACGAATCCCAGGTATTGATTCCTGTGACCGTTTCTGGAAAACCATTAGCTCTATCTGGTCCTTTATCTACTTTAGGTGTAGGTTATGCAACCATTAATAACTTCTTCCCTTCATACCGTAAAACTAAACCCTTAGGGCAAAAGGATCAGGCTAAGGTAACCGCTGAGCCTCATGATAAGGTAGCCCTAAAAAACATAGATTTAAAGTATTTGAATGATGGGTCTAGGTTCTTTAGAGCAACCCCATATTTCAAAGATGTTGACCTCTACTTAAACTGGTTAACCAAAGTAGAAAAAGTCAAAGTAGAAACTTTGAAGAAAATAGGAATTTATGACTTGATTATGATGTCGAAGACAAGTCCCGCTTACTGTCCAACTTTGTTAGCTTCTTCTTTG